GAATTCCAAGTTAATTTATTAAAGGGGATACCCCCTCAATACAAAAGCCACTCAGAAATGATGCTTCTTCCTTTTTGTTGGTTTCATAACAGAATCCATTCGGGGAATGAGGTCAGCTCCCGGAATATGGTAAGATGTTTGTCATCTATTAGAGGAATAATCCAGGACTCTAGAACAAAATATTGGTGATATGTTGAGGCTGGGAGAGATCTCAAAGACCAATCCAGACTCTTCATTTTACTGAAGAGAAAACTAGCATTCAGGGACATAAGAAGCATGTCCTAAGGCTTATATTTCAGAAATATGCCAACAAATCCAACAAAACATAAAAATGAAACTCAAGGTTTCTGTATGGATTTTAAATGCAATTAAATTGTTCATAATATCAGCCTCTCCAGATTTGTTAGCTTCTAAAAACAGACCCACACACCCCAAAACATCATAGACATTCTGCTGTTGGTTTCAAATTCATACCACAGTGGGACATCTTACTGTGGTTTGTCCACTTGGAATAAACAGGAAACAACAGAATGAAGGATATTAAAGGGTGGGTTTGAATAGGTCGTGGATCTAAAGAGAATATTCCCTCAAGTGTAAGTTTTCCCTGAAAGTAGTTAATATGCTATCTCCCCTATTGAGGAGACTTAAAAGAGGGCTTAAACCAATAATGGAACCTCAAAGTGGTGTAAAAAAAAGACTCGGTGGCTAAAATAGTTCCACGATCACACCCTGAGAAACTGGAGGCTTAATCTTTAAGTAACATTTCCAAAGTGGTAGATACAATAAATCCACAAGGAGATGTTTACCCTAAAACAGCTTGTCATGATGTTCTGTCACCAGGACGCTAGTGCTCTGTGGAGTTACAACCATCTTCACCCTCGGCTTTAGACCTGGTTCTGTCATTGACTAGCTGCATGGACCGAGCCCCGGTATCTCTTAACGGTGTGCTTGCTCAATGGTGTGGGTGTTCTTTGAGGATAGGAAATCAACCTCTGTTTGTAGAAATAGAAAAATGTAGGGTTATAGCATTAAGTGCAATGGGATTTAGACACTTAAAGGCAACATTACAATATAATTTATTACTTTCGGAAGCATTGCAAACACACACACACACACACACACACACACACATACATATTCATGAATGCTGCTATATAGGCTTAAAAAATGTAATTCTTACTTTCCTTTCTCAGATTTGGCATGCTTCTTGAAGAGAGTAAATTTTTTAAATTAAACATTTATTCAGTCCCATTAGAAAGTATAATTTTTCCAGAACATTTGAGTGCCCAGAGGTAAATTACAGAGATGTGTACAAAGTGGAGCAATTTTTCTAATCAAATCACTGATATGTTTAAAAATTCATCTGAACTAAAAAAAAAAAAAAAAAATCTTAAGTAGCATAGTCTTCATTTCTTAGATTTAGTTTTAAAGGCATAGCGGTGAAAAGCCCAACAACCACACCCAGAGATACCATCCAGAAACCCAGGGTCAGCTTGGACACCTTCTGGTCCTCATCTCCCAAATGCCGACTTTTCTCCCTGAACATCACTCACACCTGCCCGCCTGTGTCTCTTCCCACCACCCCTTCCCACCAGGACTCACATTCTCTCCCTGTCTAGACTTGTGTTTTCTCTGTGTAGAAGCCGGAGTGGTCCTTTTACAACTAAAATTGAATCACTTAACTCCCTTCGTTACAACCTTTCAACTGTTTCCTCTTGTTCTGAGGCTAACTTTGTTCATTTGCTTGCATTTTAATCTTAAACCGGAATTCAAGGCCTTGCAGAATCCAGTTCCCTTTCTACATGGCCAGCCTTCCCTTGGGTCATCGAGTTGCACCTGATCGCCTCTTTCCTGTTCTGCAGAAGTGCATTCTCCCTCCCATGGTCGCTCACCATGATTTCTCAGCCTAACACTGCTCTCTGCTGCCTCCCCAATCCCATCTGGGTCCTGGCCCGGTACCTTCTCATCCTGCAGACCTCAGCTTCAAACATGGCATCCAAGAGGTGGCCTTCCCAGTCCCTCACTAGATTAGGTTCCTCCTTCTACCGTAGAGTTTTTCTCCAAACACTTCTCCCAGTGGTGAACTGTTAACATGTTCCTGGGTTAACTGTATCCATTATGAGGGAATGGACTGGATTTGTTTTGTTCACTATGGGTGCTCTGAGTCCCTGGCACATAGTAGTTGTTCAACACACACACACATATACACACACACACTATAGATGGTGCTGCCTTCATGGGAACAGTTTGCGGTGAGAGGTGGGGAATATGGAGGAGAGAAATGTGGAAAAATTGGATTAAGATCCATGTGGATTCAGTATTTCATTCACCTAACAAATATTTTTGAGGATTTATAATTCCTTCATCCAGTCACCACATGTTTATTAAGCCTGTACAACCTGCCAGGTGTGTGCCAGGTACAATACTAGACGCAGGGTCCTCGGTGATGAGTAGAGCAGGAATGATTCCCAAACCTGTGGACCTTCAGTCTTGCAGGAGAACCTAGAGGGACAAACTGCCTGGCTGTTTGAATTGAATGGAGTCTTCTCTGTGTTTTCATGGGACAATCTCTGCACAAAGGGAAAAGATGCCCAGATAGAGTGTTGGAAAGAATCATAATACTTTGGAAATATTAAATGGCAAAAGTTGAGAAAACAAGAAAATTAGTGATAGTTTAATCATTACTTAAGAAGAAGCAGACTAGGTAAATGATGTGGATGGATTTTGACTTGGAAATTCTGATCTTATTTTTCAAATAGCTATAGGTGTGCGTGCGTGCGTGTGTGTGTGTGTGTGTGTGTGTGTGTGTGTGTGAGATAAACAAATGATTCTTTCTTCCCCTTCCTTCCTTCCTTCCTCTTTCTCTTCTTACTTTATAATTAATGCCATTCAGAAACGGAACTGAAATGGCTAATGTCATCTTTTCTTGTATTGAGTTTTATGCTTTTCAAAATATGCTCACACTACCTTATTGAACCCCCACAACAATTCTATCAAGTAGGTATTATTGTCTACATAGAATCAGACTATGAAAATTAAAATGACTTGTTAGACATCCCCTAGTAATTTAATAGAAAGACCATGGCTGAGACTCAGGCCCCTAACTCCTAGACCATGGTTCTTTGTGACATCACCCTAAATTATTAGCTAGCTCAATGACAGGATTTTGTCGAAATGGTAGGTAAGCTGGAAGGATAAAAATATAACTGTGGTAGTGGCTCTAGGCAATGTTACCGTTATCCTCTAGAAATGAGTTGCCACAGAGCAGAGTCCAGTGGGCCCCCAAGGAAAGCACAATTCCTCCTGGGGACTCATGCCCTCCTGTCTGGTCATCTTCGTAATAACTGGGGTGAACTAGGCCATCCATCAGGCTCTGACACTTCTCCTGCCCCTAGAGCACACTGAAAGGCATGACATTTCTTACACCTTTGAAAACATCAGGTAAAATAAAAGAACTTTCTCTCATTCTGAACTTTACCTCTGCTGGACCAAAAGGTTTGCTGACAGGGCAGGGATAAAAGCCAGAAAGGGGAAGTTCCCACTGAGAAGAGATAAGGGGAATAGATTTGTGGGCTCAAATAACGACCAACCAATGATTACACGTGAAATTGCCTTCTATGATACCTGCATTTCTTATTTGAAAGATAAACAAAAATCTTTTTTTTTTTCTGTTTCTAGTCAGTCTCGGTTTTTTTATTGTGTGTATTTAAGGACTACAACAATATTTTTAATTGATACATAACAGATGTATTAATACATATTTTGGGATACATGTGACAATTTAATACATTCATATAATTTATACAGATCAAATCAGTGTACTTGGGATATCCATCATCTTAAATATTTGTCTTTTCTTTATGCTAGAAACATTCGAATTATTCTCTTCTAGCTATAATATTTTGAAATATACAATAGATTATTGTGAACTATAGTCACCCTACTGATCTATGGAACACTAGGTATCATTTCTTCTCTTGAACCATGTATTTGTACCCATTAATCAGTTTCTCTTTATTCTCTTCCCACCTCCCTGGCCTCTGGTAACCACCAATCTATTCTCTGTCTTCATGAGATCCGACTTTTTTAGCTGCCACATATGAGTGAGAACAGTTTCCATGTAATCACACATAGCCAACTGGTTACCGTAGCCAACCAAGTCAACATAGCCACCATCTCCCACAGTCACCCTTTTTTTGTGTGCATGGCGAGAGCACCTAAAATCTACTCTTTCAGCAAAAATCCCAAATACAAAACAATATTATTAACTGTAATCTTTCTGTTGTACATTAGACTTACTCATCTAATATATATATATATGCTACTTAGTTTAGAGGATAAAGGAAAATATCAAAGTGCTTCTCTCTCCTATCAGTCTATGATACCTGAGAATTTGCCATCCTCTCAAATAAAGAACCAACTCATTCACTCGCAGATAGGTGGATGCCGTTTCACTCAAAAGAGTCATTTTGAAATTGTTCGACAGAACAAACCAAATACATAGCCAGCCAATCATAGCTAAGAAGGTGAGAAAGTCAGTGCCCATTGGATCCAGAGTTCCCGTCTTCTGAGTACCCATGTTGTGGGCTTTCGCCGTGTCCAGCTATTCATTCGTTTGCCACTTTCGAGCCATCACAGCAGTGGTTAGCGGACCCTTGTTCCTGGACTGGTTCTTACCGCCAGCGTCAGGATGCTGGAACACAATGAACTCTTAAGTGAATCCAGTTCCCTTTCTACATGGCCAGCCTTCCCTTGGGTCATCGAGTTGCACCTGATCGCCTCTTTCCTGTTCTGCAGAAGTGCATTCTCCCT